GAATCGCGCTTTAAGCCTAGCGCACACACCCGAGCAAAACGGGAAATTTTGTTTTCCAGCGTTTCGCGTTCTGCTCGGCGAGCAAGCGCACACACGCCACTCGACACAGCACACAGCTGAGCAAAACATACAGAAACACTGCGTACAGCGCCGCTGTCACATGACATTAAAAATAGCCATCCAATGGACATACAATTTTGTGTGTCATGTGATATTTTTAAGGATATTGATTGGAGACCGTCTGTGGCGTTTCGCTGTGTAGCAGAACGATTGACGCACACACCCGAGCAAAACGTACGCTCAGGCGAAAACACGCTCCGCGAATCAAACATTGCTTGTTCAGCGAAACACGCTCAGCTGAACAATGTTTTTTGTTTCGGGAATCCGCACACAGCCACGAACATCGAGCGAAACACGTTTTGCTCCACGTTCAGGGTGTTTTGCTCGGGTGTGTGCGCTAGGCTTTACGGTTACAGCTAGGTTGCAGAGACGAGCAACCAAAAATCGCAGGTCTGCGCTAGGCTTAATGCAAGCGATAATGTATTAATCTCGCTGATCATAGGAGGATGCGCACACACATACACGTATCAGTCATTGAGTTAGAGATGTAAGTTATCAGTTATAAAGCTACAGATGTGAATCGTCAGTTATAGATCGAGCAACAGACGTAAGTTATCAACTATACATCTGCAGATGCGTCATTTGTGGTAATATTCGGCACTAGCGTGCACTAATCAGCATCATGCACGTAAAGCTGTCTTTTTCTATGGAAAAGTCGACGAGATGATAAACTTCTTCAACGTTCTATCGACCTTTCTATCAGATGTTCAAATTTTTACGTTATCGACCGCGAGTCGACGTTTTAAAATTTGTCCCGCAGTGTGCGCGCGTGGCGACGTGGATACGCAGTTTTGCACGTATTAATTCACACCAGTGTGGCGCCGATAGCAAAAACGCTCTCTTCCTCTGGGTGGAGGGACACACCTCCTGATTGCTATTATTTGGGTGGCTGAGTGGCAAAACTTGATCAAATCGCTGACCAAAAGTTGAGAAAAGAGAACATGCTCTAATCTCTCAACCATAGTTGCTATCATCTTGTTGAGCGCTCAAGCTTTACGTTTACAGTTGAAATTTGATCAACTCGTCAACTTTTGAACAGAAAGTTGATAGTGTAAACCCAGCTTACGATAGATGGCATGTGGACGTTTAGAGTCTAGTCATTTAGTCTAGTCTAAAGTTTCGAGTGGAGTGTCGATCGTGAATCTGTGTTTATTAAGCATGAATAAAAGGTATGTCGTGAATATGCCGAAACTCTCTCCGTATTTTTAATTAATTTCTCTGTCATGCTTATTTAAGTCTGCGGCCTATGGACACCTTCTATTTTTGCAAAATACTTAAACCAATTGTTGGCAATGTACATGGTTTTATATCTATTACGCCAATAGATAATGAGACTGAACAGTTATTTACGTATACATGTGTTCTGAAACATATATCATCCATATAGTGTATATAGAATATCTATCTTACCAAAGATCATATATGGTCTTTGGTTTTATTGTAGTGACCCTAAGGGTGGCCGCTACTGGCATACAGGCATTAATTCGGTTTATTCCCATTTCGCCATTTTCCCACTTCGCCATTTCCCATTTCGCCATTAAAATTTCCCATTTCGCCATTTCCCATTTCGCCATTTCNATTAGGCAGGACGGTGATGTCACGTAGCAGATAACAGATAGCACCAGTTAAACAGAACACGGTGAGATTCGGTTAACGGTATGGTTATATGGCTTTTATTGCGTGTTACTAGTGTACAAATGATTCCCCCTGCATTCGTATATGCAGCGCACCTTCTATCGATCTTGTCCAATATTTACGCGTCGCCGGTTTTGTCTTCTTCCCTCACGTTCGTCCTTGCTTCGCGTGGACCTAGGCAGTCTCCCAGGTTTCTCCCTCGCAGTTGCTCCTAGCTCTACCTAACCAGAATGCCATTATTTGCTGCTCTCGCTTTATTCCCCCTCTCCCGTTCGGCTCCGGTTTAC